CCACTTCTGGAGTTTTACTTACTGGTTTGCGCAGAACATCCAGTGACGGTCTGGTGCTTTTTATGCGTCCCGACCAAGTGTCTTTGGCATAAAAGTCATATTTTGGCACGGGGTCCAGCGGATTGTAGAATGACATTTTTATCTTGTCCTTCCCGTAATCAACCTCCCCCATATCCACAGTAACTCCTTGAGACGGGATGTTGCTGTCCGCATGTCGAACTCCTGGGATGAAGTTTCTGATACGAGCAACATATCTGGCCATGGTGGATTCGGTGGGACTTTTGCCTGTGAATTCCCTTCCCTTCCTGTGTTAATCCTTGTGAAGAATCCCTCAGATCCACAGAAATCACATCGGACAATCACAGCATATTCCAGCGAGCCGTGTGGACTTGACCTGGCCCTCCTCTGCTGTCAGGAAACGAGTTGCATTTTCTTTTATACCTTAACCGAGCCTACTCACATACACCCCCAAATACATTATTATACGTACACAGACATTGTTGCAGAACCATGACTGGAGGTTATTTGTATTGTGTTCTCATGCTATCTTTGAAATCTTGTTTGGAAATATCATTAAACTGGTTTCACATAGATCTGTCAGACAGAGACTTTGTCTGCCAAAAGCTAAACTCTTACTCAGTCATGTAGAAAAAAAAGAGAGATTAATATCAAACTAGTCAACATTACAAGCAAGGAAAAACAAATACTGGAGTTTGGACATCTGAAGATCAGATCTCCTTCACCCAAAGCCACCATTATTAATTAAATGATTACAGATCATGTTGATGACGAGCTGACCGACTCTGAGGCTCTGAGATCTGTGCTGCGTTTCCAAAAAAACAATGTAAGCCTAAGTTGATAGTAGCTCCATTGGTTTCAATGGGTCTACGTGTACTTAAGCTTACTATGCTTTTGGGAAACGCAGCCCTGATTGTTTTTCATGAACACATATTGGTTGCATAAACCTGGGATTTTCCATGCTTTGAAGCAAGTTTAAAGTTTGTCCAGTTGTTATCAGAGCAGCATGCAACATCTCAAACCTGCTCACACACCTTAAAGCATGCAGGAAAGAAAAATACATAATACATCAACTGACAATGACCATGGAAAGACTTCAGCTCAGGCACTGCTCTTTCACAGATCATCAACTTTGCCTCAGATGTTTCTCCTGAAATTCTACAGTAGAATTAAAAACAGACACAAAAGAGTCAAAAGTTGTCCATCAGTTGAGCTTTAAAATTAATGATTTGATGAGAAATGTTTAAGTTCATAATGAGATCTCTGGCAAATATAAAACATTGTAGAGATATCTTCTAAAAGAGGGCATGTGAAATTACTGGAGTGTTTTTCTCAGATCTGAGAAGCAGGGAACTCTAAGGCTTTGAACTTTTTGAACACACTGTCATGTCAGACATGCAGTGCATTCAGACCAGGGTTAAACTGTATTCTCAGGACAAGAGGTGTGTTCACAAATGTCAAATTGAGACAAGTTGTCACACATTTATTATGTGTTAAATTTTATGCATTCATTATTGTATTGCTAAATCAATAGTTTGTTTTGTTTTACAATTTGCAGTATTACTTTGGCAAACAATTCGTATTAGTGATGTTCGGTTCTTGAACTAATCGTTCTTTTGAGCCGGTTCTCAGGAAGTAACCGGTCGAGCCG